CACAACCCCTATCGCTTAAAGGCCTGCTTCGAAGTTTTTACTAGAGAAGGGAAGTCGATGGTTGCTTTTCAGCCCATAGCAGAGCCCACCACGCGGACTTATCATTAGCCACTACGGTGTAAATGACCTACTGGAAGTCATGCTGACAGACGGTACTTAAGCCTAATTCTTTGCGAAACCCAGCCTCGATCCCCACTGCCACTATCCAACTTTTGGCAGGATTGCCTTGTGAGGCCTCAAAAATACTGTCGACTTATAATGAAAAACAACTTTCTACTGTTCAGTAGCACGACTTTCCTTTTTCCCGACGTAAGTGTCCTCGTCCAAGGTCAGCGAACATCCCCCAACTTACACGCGCTCGCCGTTGGTCCATTAGGGGCATTTTTTAATGGCATCTCTAATCCCTACTAGACCTGCGGCGGGCGCGTCTAAGTTGGCGGGTGTTTGCTGACCTTGTGCGATGACACTGACGTCGGAAAAAACGGAAAGTCGTGCTACTGAACAGTATAAAGTCGTTTTCCATCATAAGTCGACGGTATTTTTGCGGCCCCACAATGCAGTCCTGCCCACATTTTTAGTCTAATTTCCTGTGTTAGACACCTCCGTAGAAGCAGGTTTTTGATGCAGTGGTTTTGTGTGCGGCTGACAGCCCTCGTATTCTTTGCATGTGAGGACGATTCTCCGTTAAGGACATCCTTCCGTGGCAAAAGGCTATCCGTCTGCTTGACGGCTCTAGACATAACTGTTATTGTATATGACCCAAATGCCGACTTCACTTGTCAGTAGATTTGAACAGAATATATCAGCGGATTTAAAGCACAACAGATAAGAGTTACTTGTGCCAGCAATTTCTCACTTTATCGTTCAACCACACACTAAATATGGAGTGGCCATCCGAAACACGCGCAAATGCCAACAGGCTAGGTGATCCCCTGTAGATTACTCATTTTGCTGTGCCATGATTAGTCCATCTCAGTTATGTATATTTTTCGCCATCTGGTTTTCAGCTAGTTGAGTACTGGGTAACAGTCTATATTATATGTAATACCACGGGAATCCAAAACTCCAAAATAGTAGTGTTAACTTATTTTTTACTTTTTTTCAATTATCGTGCGCGCTCTTTCGTCACTGTGTATTACATTCTTAAAATAATTTTGTCTACTATTTCCTTTATTTGTTTGCCATCTTCATATTTTTTCTTGCCTGCGCCCCCTTACTGCTTCACTCCTATAATCCTCGTTACCAACGGTCCCATATTACAGAATTATGTGGCTCTTGGTTTCCGTGGTGTTAGATATAATAGACCGTTATCGAGTACTGTCTGTATGCGCCCTTAAAAAGTGACTCTGTACGCCGTTGCCCTGACCACCAAGCTAACTATGCCTTTTTGTGTGTTACCCTTGCAGGTTATTCAGCAAGATCTGGATCCGGCTGATCCGGCCTACTGGGAGAAGCTGCTGCGGCATCACTTTGAGCAGGCCCAAGAGGATCAGGCGCGCAGTCTGGGCAAGGGAAAACGCATCCGCAAGAAGGTCAATTACTCCACCAATCAGGAAGACGAGGAGGAGTGGAATGAGGCGATGAGTGATCATGACAGCAACTTTTCTACTAAGGTGTCTCCTGGCTTTTTCTCCATTCTGCCCGTTTTACTAAGATTGCAAATGCACAAACGAGTAGTCTTGTAAATATTTAGATTTTGCTGCGAAAGTTGCTACTGTTCTGCCCGTCCCGTTTCTAAAGTACGCATTAGCGCGGAAACTATACCATTTAAAAAGAGTATCATAGCACATACTTCAACATGAATTTTGGTAGGGAGTCCATCGGTAGGAACATATAAGAGTAGATCGTAAAAGAAGAACAATGTTGGGACGTTCAAACGAAGGATTCCTACTAGACTTTACTGCTGCGTTCTAGGATAGTATAGGACACGCTGGCTTGCAAAGCTGATTGTTTAAATTGGATAAATCTTTCAAGTTCCTTGCACCTTGCCTCATCTGTTTTGCGTGATGAAGAAAAAAAAATGAATTATTCATGTGCGGCAAGTTTCGTGTAATAAAACTCGCGAGTTTAGATTACGCTCTTAGCAAAAAGAAGCATGCGCGGATGCGCAAACCTAGTCTAGGAGCGCTACAAGCATAGGAAGTCACCTTGATTTCCACTCAAGTTTGTAAACCTGTTGACCGATGAAGTGATTTGTAGGCATATACTGCCTGCAAAAAGGACGTTTTCTGAAATAGGCTACACGAACAAATCCGCTGTGCAGCCTCTTTCGTTGCTGAAAAGCTGATCGTCTTAATTTTCTTCATCATGCTTCCTAAGGTAGGTCATATACCATAGCATATACGCGTACACCGATCTGTTAAAGGACCCACTCGTCTGTCCATGTTGCCATTAGAGCTCTCACTCTCCACCGCGAGGCAGCTAGGATATAGGCAGAAGGACTGTGAGCTCTTATCACAGCAAAGGCGTATCATGGTCGCATCTCCGGTTCTTGGGGACGTTCTCGTGACTCTGAGGTCTCCTCCTCGTATGGCCCTTCGGCTGTAGTTATTACTCGCCATGGACCCCACGGTTGCCGCCAACAATTCACAGAAGCATCCTGTTCCTATCATTCACATACTTTCCCCCACGAGCGAACGTTTCTCTCCTAAAAACCACAAATGATATTCCATTTTGAATTATGAGCCATGTCTTAGGAGTTTTTTCACTGCTCTTTTTGCTCAGTTACACTGCTGGCTCGTGTTAACTGACATCACCACATGTGAGTCTATTACTTGAAACAAGCTAGTAGTCGCCTACAATTGTGACAACGACTTCTTTGAAATGTTCGGCTGTGCCGATACATTTCTTAAAC